ATACTTAAAAAGCCTTGCTAATTTGGTGACACGGTTCTTGATTTTTTCTAAAAATTTCACACCCGCGAAGTGTATCATGATCTTACCGTAAAATTCCGTTAATAAGCCCTGGATTAATTTTTTGTTCAAAACGGGCTTACTTTCGGAAGCAATTTTGCCTTTCAAAAATGTTTATAGCTTTTGCGCGCTATTATCGGAGTCAGTTGATTTACAGTAAATTTTGTCAGGTGCATTCTGCTCTCAGGTTGCGATTGGTGAAAAGTTAAACGAATGTCACGTTCGTTGAACTTTTCACAGGTTGTTGAACTATTTCATGTATCAGACTTGTATTGAAAGGCGTTGAACTATATTTCAAAAGCAAGTTGTTTTCTACATGGAAAGCCGAAAATGTATCGTCAGATTGTCGTAATTTCTACCGTTATGTGTTTCACTTGGGCACAAAATGGGCAAAGCTTCCATTATCTACATAACAAGCAACCAGAAGGGAACGCCAAGTCACTTGATAATCCGCCTCCTAACTACGGTGCCCTAAAACGCGCGCTTGAAAGGAACCCGTTCGAAGTGTGGTATTTCAAAGACAAGTTCAAGTCCTTGGAAGATATGTCAGCAACGCCAGAAATCTATAATAACGAGCTTGTCCAACGAACAACAACGAAAGATCGTCTTCAAAATGTTATGAAGAAAGCTTTACTCGGTCAAAACATTGGAGTTACGGTCATGGGTGGATCAATATCGGCTGGCGGCGGATTAATTAACGATTTCTCCGATATAAAAGGTATCTATTACCGAGTGTTTATCGATTGGTGGCAAAAGACCATCCAGCCTTTCACAGGATCGAGCATTGAGCTTCGTAATCTCGCTGTTGGGGGAACTAGTAGCAACTTTTTCTCGTTTTGTTACAAAACTTTCATGAAACCTCAAGACAGCATGGACCTTATATTCCTTGAGTTTTCAATTAACGACTACATACTTTTTAAAAACTCTCATCCTCCATGGGCAATGTCTCTAGAAAAACTTACAAGACAACTCTTGAGTGAAGACATTTCACCGGCTGTCATGTTTGTAAACTTTATTCACGGAAACCAAAATGTTGCTGAGTGTGATAATCTGGAAAACAACGGACAAACCATGCTTGCCTGGCATTATGGGATTACAAGCTTCAGCATGCGCCACTCATTATGTCCAAATACCGGAAATAAAAAATTCCCTGCGATGTTTTCATCAGATGGCAATCACCCCAGCGTTATTGCACATGCGCAAATGGCAATGATGATTATTAACAGCGTCCGTTATGCTCTGCGGGGATCCATAGAAAGTTCAAAACAAGGTTTTCATAATTTACCTTCACACGACTTACCGAGATCTGTTTATTTCATGGACGACCAGGGAGTTATTCCAGTCCCTCTCTGTTATACACTTATTACTCCAGATGTAACTAGCAAGTTCTTTAATCCATCGCTTTCTGTGAGGGAAATTGACAATGTAGGATTTAGACAAGTTAAAGACGTGTCTATCGGCTTTCATAGAATCACTTCAGGAGCAGTTAATCCCGAACCTTCAAGAACTGATGGGTATGGCGGATGGGAAGCAGAGAAAGAAAATTCCATATTAAAACTACAAATTGATTTACCTTTTGGTGGGCTTTTGAGCGACAATGTAACCAGAGCCGTTGTCATAGTGTTCCGTTCAAACGGCTATGGTGGAAAAGCCGGGGTTTGGCTGGAGAAATACAAACCTGGAATCGTAGTGGATGCGTATTCTCCATTTGGACACACGCGACTGACGACCGTTGCGCACCACGTGACCTCTGGAAGTCACGTGCTAACCATCAAGGTATTGAGAGCTGGGAAATTTACATTGTGTGGCGTTATGGCTGGAGCGAAGTCCGTGCCATATTTGTGAACTGGTTAATGTCGAATATAGAGTGTCCTTGTCAACCCTCGCCTTTACATGTCAATCATGTTACCAATAAGACTTGAACTGATAAGTTCCAAATTGCTGCAATTGACATCAGAAAAGATAATCGTTCTCTTTGACATTTTGTGCTGCATTTTAATCGAGAAAAAGAAATGTAACACAATATTTTATTTGCAATATTTTATAATGCAAGCTACTCGGAAAAATAATTCCGGGTTCTCTCAGCAGGAGCACACCCGCGGTCGGAAGAAGAGGAGGTTGGATTTTAAGCCCGTTGCTTGCTGTCCTCATTTTTAGCCACGATTTTGGGAAGCTCAGAAACATACCTAGATCATAGGAAGCTGAACGTTAATGGTTCGAAAAATGACAGGAACCCATTAGGAAGTGAGGATGGCTAACGACAGCGAGGATGGATTTTTGAAAAAATGACAGGCTGTCATTTTTTCAAATTTTCACGTTTAGCTCGGAAATCTTTGAAATTTTGCAACCATTTTGTTACAGTATGGAATTTCTTCAAGGAATTGATTTTTATCATTTAGTTAGAGTTTATTGAGTTCTTATTCCATAGATTTAGGGACAATTTCGTGCATTTATAACAGTTTTGAGAAAATACACCGGGATAGTGTCCCTTTCTGATCTATATCTAAACAATTTACCTTGCTCATTTGAAAGCACTTTTACTGATCCAAAACCGGATTACAAAATTGTTTACAGACATTATCTTCATATTATAATTCTTGAATGGTAAGCCTTTAATCTAAAAAAAAAAAAAACCCATGATATTCCAAAAACGCGCCAGAACGTCTAATAATTGTAAATTTACATAGATAATGAAACTAATAAAAAAATATAATAAAAAAAAATATATAAATATAAAAAAAGATAATGAAACTGTTGAAATTGCTCAGAATTACACATATTTAGGAACTCGAATATGTTCAACAGGTAATTTCACCTTAATACTTGCAATCACTTGAAAGAAAAAGCCATGCATGCTCTTTTCTGTATTCGAAGGCACACGAACTTTAATCCAGGATAGATTAAAGCCAAATATATTGAATCAATTGAAAATTGTTTGACACAATTCAAGTTAAAATCTATGTATTTTAACCTAAGACTTATTAATAAAGCTTGTTGTTGTTGTTGTTGTTGTTGTTACAATTAATGATCTCACCAATTCTTACTTATTATTACTTGTATAGCTCCTAAATAGAAAAAGTTCAGTTACAATTTTGCAAACGCTATTTAGAATTAAAATATAAACTGAAAACTTCGCGCGCTCTGATTGGTTAAGAACCATGTTTTATCAGAGTTTAAAATATAAACTGAAAACTTCGCGCGCTCTGATTGGTTAAAAACCATGTTTTATCAGAGTATATAACATAGAAAAGCGTGTTTTATCGTTTCGCGCGCGTAAATCTATATTTTAAAGCACATAAAGAAGCCAAAACCATGTATTATACTGTCATAAAACACTCCGGGAATTTGAGAACACTCGAGAAATTTAGAAAACACTCGCCTGCGGCTCGTGTTTTCTAAATTTCTCTCGTGTTCTCAAATTCCCGTCGTGTTTTATGACAGTATAATACATGGTTTTGGCTTCTTTATTTGTTAAATATATGATAAGACCTCCAATTTAGCATGAAGGGCTGAACTCGAACGATTTCCTCTCATTATTACTATAAATCAGAAAATTCTCAATTAAGTTTACATTCTATATCTTAAAAGCAAAGATGACGAATGTCTAATGAAACAAATCTTCGTAATGTTAGTAGATCTCCATTCTGTTGGTAAACTGACTAGCTTTTACTCTAATTCAACATGGTTGAATATCGTAATCTACGTAATTTTAATATTGACACCTTGGATGAAAATCAGATCATGCATTGTATCAATCAGCAAAGTATATTCCCTACTGGAAAAATTATTTACAACACTCTAAGAAATTATAATTTTATAACATTTTTAAGGACCAATACATAACCTCGATTACTAGTAGATCATACCAGGAATGAGGATAGGTAATTACAAACTTATGATCGAGCGGTAGGTCGATATAATCAAATCCTGGGAAAATAGATATATCGATATACAATTCAAAGAATATCGAAAAACGAAATTCATTTTCTCTTTCAATGCCCGAGACTACGCATACATGCGTAGTTTGGAGTCTTACACATCAAAGCCATTGTGACGTCATCAATGAACACGTGACGAGATTAGTTTGACACGCATCGGATGCAGAAAGGATGGATCTTTGTAACCCGGCGTGCATCAGTTTTGGAAATCTAACAAATTCTTCCAGAGTTATGCTGGAAAAACCTGTTCAATTTTTGTTGAAAAATCAGTGGCAAATTTGGCTCTCACACCCAACATACTTCCAGGTTCATTTTTCAGCTCCCTTAAAAGGTTAGGTCAAAACTTTTCCAGCTGATAGGAAGTGTATCAATCGCCGAAGATAGAAAGAAAAGAAAGGGGGAGTAATAGGAAAGGAAAAGAGAGAAGGAAAAAAATCAGAAGAACGTTTTTGCCCTAAATCCTTTTCAAAATCTTCCCCTAGTTCTCCAAACGGCATTTTTAGCAACGGTTATCCAAATTTCGGGTAACAGCACCAAGAAAACGGGTTTCGTGACCCAAAAATGCGTTTTCATTGCGAATTTTGGTATGTTAAGGGTTAAGAGAAAACGTCTTCAATCAAATCTACCAACACGTGCCTAATATTCGACATACATCCATAACAGAAACTATCAAATAATTGATGAACTCTTCCAATTATTTTGTTAAATAAATATACTATTGATGAAAATGATATCTTCGTGTTTCTGTTAGACAGATGTTTATTACCGTGGTCAGTACACTTAGCTATGATAACGGTTGACGAGTAAAGTACTCTATAGGGACGCACCAGCTACTTACAGGTACGCCACAAAATAAAAATGAATTAAAATAATTACTTGCCTGCGTGCAGACGTCTCCTATTTCATTGCTTCAGGTTTACCTAACAGTTTGCCGGCCGGTATCTGTTGATACTCCTGGATGGCCTTGAGAGGCACTTTGAGAGTGTCTTGCCCGATAACACAACACGGTGAACCTGGCCAGGGCTCGAACCCAGACCACTCGATCCGGAGTCCAACGCGCTAACCATTAGGCCACTGTGTCTCCCGCGTAAAATGTGCATTTGCAAAAACAGGTCTGAAATATTTCAAGCTGCGATAATTGTATTTAGCCATTCTTTGTAACATATAGCTGATAACTGTGAAGATCATTAAATTATCTTTTCCCGCTCACTAGAACAACTTATAATTACAATTAACTCAACTCATTTTGCTCCTTCAGTTACACTTTTATTTACTTTTTTATTCCACATTACATTGTCGACTTCAGTCGATTCTGTGCTGATTTATTGATAATTTGTAATGAAACGTGTCTGACTGGAAATAAAGAAACAATTGATTCAGCATTCAATAAGTTGCCTTAGTAATTTAGCATAAAATCTTGGCTCAAGGTCGGTGGTAGTATTATTCGTCGGGTCTCCGGCATGGCATTCTTTTACAGGTCTTTATTCAGAAGACTTCTCTGCTGTTCCCTGAAAAAAAAAACATTAATTCTCAGTGTATCGCTTTATTCCTATTGCCTAACTGCCACGTCTTCATCTATTTGGATACAAGTATCAGCGATAGCGAATCCTCTCCTGGTATCAGACACGTTTAAATTTCCCGCTGCCGCTATTTTGATTCTTACGTCACACGATTGTGCCTGTCTGAAAGAGGCACGTAACCGTGTGACGTCATCAAATCCAAAATGGCTGCGTGCGTGAAATCATTTTTTTAAAATAAATTTTCAGTCTTGGCTATATTTCAATCCATTTTATGCCAATTTGTTCCCAACAATGGAGGATTGGCGCAAAGTATCCGATCCGAACCGCTTTTTATAACTGATCCATATACTACCACTAAATTTTTTACGTGACGTCATCAAATTGTAAAATTCAAAACCGCGAGGCCTACAGAATTTTTACCTTTATTCAAGGAAAGATTACCTAAATATATATCTTTTCACAATTTCTTAGCTCGATCTCATGCTTCCTTTTGAAAATAGAACGGTTTAAATTTCCGAGTTTTCATCGTACGTGACATCAGCAGGACGGCCGTGACAGAGCTGTTTCGTATCTAAAACATGACTCTTCGGGTGATTTTCAGCATTCTAAACAATTTAAGTTTAAGGAGAAATATTTATCTAAATATTCGAAAGTTCACAAGAGAAAACAAACCTCCTTTCTGGCAAAAGTGAACTCCTGATGTTTTTTCCTATTTTCGGCGGCCATGTTGGAGCCCCTCAGAGGGACTCCAACATGGCGTTTCCATACTGAGCTCTATAAATTTGTGTGGAACATTTTGACAAATAACTCGAGTACGGAATACCGCACAGACCTAAGACTTGGACTGATTCCTTATTTATTCATTATCTATGACATGTCAATTCCTTGACTTCATTCATTGAACGGTGTCGATTTTTTTTTATTTATGGCGTGACAGTGAAAACCGAGAATTAGGCCATCGTCTCAATTGTTTAACCGCTGGAACTTCCCTGCAATAAACACATTCGATTCAAACAACAGTGTACTCCGCATACCTGTTCACGTTTCCCGCGGATGTGGCCCATGTAGGCATTGTTTAACGCCGCCAGTAAGTCTTCTTCATTTGATCCCCAACCGCCCTGCAAAACAAGCACGACAAACCAGAGATCAATGAGAACGTTTTACTTTAAAATTTTGTTGTTTTTTGCGACGCGAAACGTTTCCAGCGTGTTAGACTGGTTTTTCTTACCGTCCTTTTCCCCGAATATGGCCAAAATACTGCCTATTGAGAGCTTCACGAAGCGCAGGATTATAACCCCAACCTTTCAGCTGTAAAGTAAGTAAAACAAATGCAAATTCGCCTTACTGATCTCCATACGTTTCTTACAGAACTAGTTGAGAGAATTTGCTGTGCAAATAAAGATGATCATTTTCTTCATTCTCTTGACCTGTATGCTTGATTACGCATTGATATTATGAGGAGAAATTAGAAGCTGATCAATCCAGGAACTTGTAGGATTAACGTTCACTAGGTGTAAGTAACTATACTGCTGATCTATTTCAAGGCAACTGTCAAGGCTAAACGCATGTATGTCCAAAGATTGAACCCTAAAATATCCTTGTGTAAAAACAAGATTATTAATTACAGAATTCACCAAATACAAATATGAGACGGATAGAACCCAGTCTCCCAACTGCCTGACTGACCCTTTGGATCCGAAGTCAAAAGTATAATGTACCATGATTGTCAAAGGAGAAACGTGATTAGTTTTCTTCACTGCTTGAGATTTATTCTGTACATCTAAATTAAACTACTTCACTTTTCGTTTTTTGGTCGATAAAACTTGACTAAGAAGGTTAGTAGGTACATTTTTGGATTGGTCTCATATAAAACTAAATAACAATTGACTTCATTTGTTTTCGTTATTTCCCTTGACAAGTTTCTGCTAGTGTTAGTTGTGAAAGTTAATTTCTTTATTCTCATCACCTGTCCGCTGCAAAATGCATTGATATTGTAAGGAGAAATTCGATGTTGATCAAAGGGTGTTAATTATATACTTTGGTTCTGTTTCAGGGAAGGTCATAAAAACCTTTCTTATATTAGCATTTCATTTTTATTATCAATTTTTTTAAATGAAAGTCATTCTTACCGTTCGCTTTCCACGGATATGTCCAAAATAAGCTGAATTAAGAGCTTCTTCTAGTGCAGGCGGATAGTCCTCTGAATCCTGGAAAATAAATAATGAATTGATGATAACAATGATACACTAGAGAAAACGTTTCCTCTGATATATCGGGTTCTAAGACGTTTGAGTGATAAATGCGTGCACTGTTGCCAAACAGTTTCTTTGCACGAGTTGCGACATGCGACACACCGGCCGACGAAATATCCGGAGATTCATTAGAAAATGTTAGACTATCTCGCTTTGTATGAGCGATATTTATAGAAACTCATTACAAGCTCGTAGTCTACTAATGAGTAGTAAAACGGTACGACTAGTATGGGATTGTACATTAAAAGTTGTAGCTATTTTTTACCGTTCTTTTTCCACGAATATGTCCAAAATAAGCGTTGTTTAGTGCTTCTTCCAATGGTGGATTATCTGCCAAGTCCTGTAATGAAAAATAAAGAAAAAAAGAGAGAGAAAATTTGGATCAAACTGAGTATTGTATCATGAATGGATTGAGTTTGATCGAGCAATGACCCACAATCTAGCCTCAATCTGTTGTCTTTGAAATTTTCAGATTGAATAGAAATTTACTAATGACTTGGATGAACTTCTAAAATGAGAGGAGAATGACTATAAAAATTACAACAACTCATTTAACAGATAATGCCATATGATAGAAACTAGAAACAACAAGCACGTTGTCGAAATAAACGATGTTCGTAGCCATGATGTTCTTCGTCATGCATACATTATCGATTTTTTAAAGTCAGTTTGTCTCTTTTATCTTTTTGATTATTTTTTTTAAATTGAAATGCTTTAAATACAAACACGACAACATTTACAGAGTAAAAGAAAACAAGTAAGCCGCAGTAAACTACTTTGACCTTTTGCAACATTTCAATCTTTCACTCCTTAACGTATAGCCAAGTTAAAAATTGTTAAAGAAATCCCAAATTTCGTATTTGAAATATTGAAAACCAAACACTAACTAACATATGGAAGTATTGCTTCGTAGCTTTTATTTGAATGGCCACGCACAAAAGGGTTTCATCTAGACTAAACTGTAAGAACCACATTAATCGATAATTACGAGGTTTGACTCTGGGAGTATAATGTAGAGCACAATACTTCACTCGTATATTCAAGCGAGTATAAACACTATACTAGTCGATCGTACTTACCGTCCTTTTGCCCCTAATATGACCAAAATATTTCGCGTTTAATGCCTTGAGTAACGCCGGCGGATCTTGCGATTTTTTCTTTGTTTCACTGCAGCTTGCTAGGCAAACCACAGAAAAGAAGATGACAAGTCTTAAAAACATCGTTAACCTGGAATGGAAGGAAATTCACAGTCAGTTTTATAATTAATCGATTCTATGCGCATTTTGTTTACTAAGTAACCCTTTATTCACAAGTGAGTTCAATATCTAATCAGACAGGTGTAGAAAATCATCAACTAGGGGATATTATTGCTCATCATATTTTGTATTTTATTTTATACTGCCTTAAAATTTAATCACTCATCGCTAATGATTTTTTCAATATTTTACAGGTTTTTTCAGTATTTTTTGTGTAGTGGTTTTGTTTTGAATGCAACAAAAATCAGGCAAATAGATTAAGAGTTTGATGAGTCATAAATGCAATGAGCAAAGATTTTATCAGAACATTTTCACGCTTTCAAGAGAAAGAAAGAATGGAGATTAATGGCATAATACAGGGAGGAACTAACACCTAATCAACAGAAAGAAAAAAAGAGAAAGGTAGCGCTTGCACTGATAAAAATACTTGAAATCCTCAGATGGCATAAACGTATGAGATACTCAATATCAAATATGGGCGGTGCCGTTTTCGAAAATTCGGCTTCAACAGGAACCAAATTAGATGTCTAGATACAACGGGACAAAATGACTATCGTGACTATTTCTGTGAAATAAAAACACGTTGAGTTTGCCATGGTAAATCGACAAAACAGTGCGAAATTGCTTTCTTTTAAAAAATCAACCATTTCTTCTACAGCTCACTCTTTCCTTGAAATTGTGATTTAACATTATATATTTTAAGTACGATCAGCGCAAATCAGTAAAAAGCTGAACAATATCAGAAAACATTGAACAAAGGTTTCTTGAAAAATAAAATGTCTATTAGTTATAGACAATGACTTGCTTGATCAAAAATAAAACTTTTCACGAAAATATTAAACGTAAACTCAGTTTGCGAACCGAAAAGGGGTTTGCTGACTTCTTGCTATATAGGTAAAATGCAACTAAAATAATTTGAAAATGCCGAAAAGGAAACTAAGCGATTAAGCAGAAATAAGATAGAAACATGGAAAAAATACAATTGCCCTTACCTGTAAATCTGTTGTGGCTTCTTAAAATTGTGATCGAAGCAAGCTAACAAAGTGTGCCGTT